CGTTTAAATAAAAGAGTAGATGTTATCCGAAGTTTACAAAGAGTGGTCAAAGATTCTGTATTTTTTATCTCATATTTTCCCACTCTGCAGTATCGAAGGTAGAAGATTTTGCATAATTGAGAGAGAGGACGCTGTGTTACAAAGGTATCCTCTGAGTAAATTTGTGATATACTCGCTCCATACTATGACCACTTCTACTTTCATCAATCTCTCGTCTCTTCCTGTTTTAGAAGGTTTGATGGTCAGTGCGTAATCGTATTGAAGACTAGCTGCAAAACACAACACTGTGATTCAAAACTGTCAAAGACATCAGAATAAAACAACATTAAGATATTCCGAATAATCTTTTTTTCGCATGGTTGCCGCTTATCAGATAATGAAAACTCGTAGTTTTTCGTCGTTGGCTCAACTTATCACTGCGTTGTCATCACAAAAGGGGCGTAACCGATCCATATGTGCTTATATAGAAGAACTTTAACTTGTAACACTCAAAAACCATGGCATTCCCGATACCAGACTTTAACAACAATCATATACTACATAACATGAATGAAGCTGTACGACTGGATCAGGGACCAGGCGCTGCACCTCACTTGCAATTGGAGGAGCCAGCTGCTGTTCGTTTAGAACCAAGAATTGCCGAACGAAGGCCTCGGCCCCGGATCCGTGAGGTATGCTCCTATCATATATTTCCTTCTCTAAAACACTTCATCCCTATTGCATGTTGTCACTTTTTATAACCTTATTCAAAGCAACATCTATTTTAGGAGCTTGAATTCAATGGGCGATCCGAGGATAGAAACGTACACAGATACAGATCAGTTTTCCCAGATTTCGAGCATGTAAATCAAAGATATCTGAAGTAAGTATTTTAACTAATATGGATAATAAACTTTGAAGAATTAAGCTGATCCTTTATTTTTCAGACAAGCGGAATAATTGTAACTCTACGAAACAATTATGTATCCTTATTTTAGGAGAATGAGAGCTCAAGAGAAAAGACTGAGGTGGCATCTGCGACGAAGAAATGGCGACTTTCACCACAGGCATAGGTAAGCACACAGAATCAAGTTATTTGAGCACAAACTATCAATTCTTGCTGAATTACACCCATTTCTCTTCTCAGAATCAAAATTTCTAGAAAATTACTTAAAAATTGGGAAACATGTGAATTTTCTGGATCCTACTTTGTTCACTTGATCATCATCATTTTTTTTTCAGGAGACAAAATTGGGAGAGACAACAAGGAAACGAAGAACTGTTTTAAGCTTCTGGATCAATTCTATTCCTTCCTCTCCTCTGACCTCTCACTTCTCAGTTCTATCCTTTTGGTACGCCTTCCCTCCAAAGTCTGATGCTGACGAGGACCGACCTATCAAACATCAAAAGGTCCTCATCGTGCCTCTTTCCTACAACATAACATCTGGAGCGGCAATGGAACAGCAACGAAGGTGAAAGCGCTCTTCTGAGTTTCGACATGATGAGCACACAGAATTGAGCAATTATGTTGAAT